TTAAAGTAAATTAGTTAGCCAGTCGTGAAGTGAACTTTCGCAGAGGTGAACAACTTGTGTTTCGCGCGCTCATATGACCTTAGCAGTTGCGAGCGCCGTAAAACCTTATACTATACATACATGAGTTTCCTGCCTTTCTTTAACTTCAATTCAAAGGCAGGCTTCTCACAGGGGCTTTCACAGGTCCACTGTCTTGCTAGACGACCTTCTGTCTTGCTAGACGACCTTCTGTCTTGCTAGACGACCTTCTGTCGACAGATCACTATGAGAGAGAAATGGAGAGAAGGTATAGTAAGTGCAAAAAATAGATGCTGTCCTTATGCCAGAAAGTTTTTGGTGTATGAGTGTGGCGTCCCACCAGTAGGGATGGGCAAGTAAGGATACCCAGTACCGGAACTCCCGGTTCTACCGAAGGAGGTGTCAGTACCGGCACCAGGCCTCCAGTACCGGCTCTGGGAAGGAGCCGACACCAACGGTTAGTACCGTCTCTGGGAAGGAGCCAACACCAACGTTTTTTTTACTGGGCCACGGGAAGTGTGCAGTGTGTAGGCCTAGGCCTAGCAGCTGTGACGTCAGATGCACAATGCAGCGGGTGACCTTGATACATGACTTCAGATTCAAAATTGGCAATAAAAAAGGAAGTTTGCTTTTTAAAATGTAAATATGGCGTCAAATCAGGTTCTACGCGAGCCACTTTGCTTATTTTGATACACTGATTCCGAAAATGAAATCAATTTTTAGCAGCGATAATTATTTTTAAAATTCTGCTTGCAAAGTTTAATCTCGCGCTGCGGCAAACTTCAAAGGTATTTTGCTTCACAGTTCGCCTCTCCAATTCTGACTTTGTGTGTGTTGGGGGCGGGAGGGGGGAGGATGTGGGTGGCACTGATCGTGGCGTTAGACGCAAGACGCGAAGTCTGTAACGTCACCTCCTGGTGTCACTCCCAGTACCGGACTGGTGGTTCTCGGCACAAGTTCCGACACTTATATATATATATATATATCTATATATATACAAGCCCTGGCCCAAGAGGTCAGAACACTGATGGAAGCAGATAGAACAGTTTGTAGTGTATTGGGGTTATAGTTGAAATAATAACCCATTTGACATTGAAGTATTTCTGGAGATTTCTAAGACTCTAGGAAGAGAAGAACATTCAAAACTTTTGATCCGATGGATGAGATTTTGTGTCACCATTTTGTATGAGATGTAAGCCTTTTGTTTTATTTACAACCCGACAAACAATACAGAGACAGAGTTTATCATTGTGGCAACCTTACTTATATGACTCTATAAGATCTTTCTCCTTTTACAAGTTCTACTTTCTCAATGAGGCTTCAGTGGTCAGGCAGCACTTAATGTATTACTCTGATCCACACACACACACACACTTCGCCCTGCTTCATATGTTGGTGAAACACTTTGCACTGGATCTTTTACCCTTCCTTGTTGTCCCATAAATCAATCAGTGAGTTGTTTTACCACTGCTCTATCCCATTCCCACCATGCTTTAACCATCAGTTATTGGCCGGAATACGAGTCCAATAGTGTGTATTTTTAAAGATTGGTCTCTGCATAAATACTTAGAAATCATGACTGAAGTACTGGAATGTGATTTGTTGACTTGTTCTCCCACAGCATGTCGTGCTACAAGTTCTCCTAGTGGCTGGATGTGGAGGGATTGGCTTTGTCGCTGCGAAAATCTACAGGTAACTGCCACATTACTTTTTGCTTTTTAAGGGCGTTAAGGAAAAATAATCAAATTTTTTTAAAAAGGTGTCTTCCTTAATATTTTTATTTAGCTTGAAAAGATGACCCAAGGTTACAAAGTAAGGAAAAGATTATCTCTATGTTTGAGGTTGTACTGTGAAGTTACTAGGTGAGCTGGACTTACTGAATTGAATATCTGATCTTTTCAATTCTGTTCAGAGTAGTCCAGTTCCCTTCCTTTCCCCCCCCAATTTTGATTCCTTTAAATTACTTTGTTAATTGTGACATCAGGCTAGATCTGAGTAGCTCGTGAGCATACCACCTTTGAAGAAAATTCATATCACTTTGATGGCAAGATCAGTCAACAAACAAATAAAGTTGAAAAAGCAAATAATACATTTTACTGATTTTTTTTTTTTAATGTTCCCTTTGTGCACAGGTTTGTATGGGATGTCTGTGTGTACATGGCGGTGGTTCATTTAACTTTTCAGGCTTTTTTCTGAATTGAGCTATACATTTCTCTTTGACTTTTTTCTCCTCTCTATTTTGCCATTATGTCCTGATCACCTCCATTTTCTACAATTACTTTCACATTTATCGATATTTGTATGTTAAAAGTGTGACCCTCTCCCCTTTCCACAGATATTTAACTGTAAGTCAAAGAGATGCATTGCTTGAGGAACCGATAGATCTTTTGAAAGGTAAGCAATTTAAAGATATACAAAAGTACACATTTCACATAAACTCTTCAAGTAAGAATCCTGTGTTAACAGGAATGAATTTAAAAACTGCTGGCTGCATCTCTACCATATTCCATAAATCAATTGCGGCATAGGCCTGAGGCCTACACTTACAACATTTTTCTTGACTCGTTGAATTACATCTACATTTAGCAGCAGTCCTTCCTGTCCCCTGTACTCTCTATCACTTTCTCCTTCTCTCTTTCTCTGTCTCTTTCTCTCTTTCCTTCTTCCTCCGTTGTCTATCTCCGGCGCTCTCTCTTTCTCTTTCCCTCTCCTTCTTTCTCTTTCTCCCTCTTTCTCTCTCTCTCTTTCTCTCTCTCTCTCTCTCTTCCTCTCTCTCCCCCTTCTCTCTCTCTCTCTCTTTCTCTCTCTCGCCCTTCTCTCTCTCTCTCCCTCCTTCCCTCTCTCTCTCCCTCCTTCCCCCCCTCTCTCTCTGTCTATCCCTCTTCTCCCCCTCTCTCTTCATTTTCATTTAGCAACAGTCCTTTCTGTCCACTGTACTCTCTATCACTCTCTCCTTCTCTCTTTCCTTCTCCCTCCATTGTCTATCTCTGGCTCTCTCTCTTTCTCTCTTTCCTTCTTTCTCTTTCTCCCTCTCTCCTCTCCCTCTCTCCTCTCTCTCTCCTCTCTCTCTCTCTCTCTCTCTCTCTCTCTCTCTCCCTCTCTCTCTCCCTCTCTCTCTCCCTCTCTCCCCCCCCCACCCCTTTTCTTATCTCTCTATCCCTGAGAAAAATTACAATTCCTTTTCATTTTTTTATATTTCAGAGATGGGTGATGACGATGGTACAAAAGAATCCTCTCCCTCCTCGTCCACATCCTCCCATAAACATCACAGTCAAGCTGCGGGTCGCCAGAGGATGAAGAAAGGAAAATCCTAGTGATTGCTTTTGTATTGGTTTCGTTCTTTTTTTTTTTCAGTGATATTTCCTTGTAACTTTGTTTTTTGATGAATGGGAAGTGTCAAGAGAGTATGGATGAACATATGTCTTTGCTACTGATTTCTTGACTTTAAGTTGGTAACAAGATATATTATGCGTATGTAGTGTGATGGCTGATGTGTGTCTGTAAGTTATATTTATACTCAGAGAGTTTATATTAGGATTTTTAACTCTATATTTGTTAATGCTCAGCTGAGATATATATATATATATATATGTGTGACCTTTTTTTTAACGACAGTGGAATATGATTAATTCATATAAATGGAAGTTGTTTGACCAAATGGGTGACTGCTTAAGAAGAAATACTTTTATTACTTCCACGTGCGTCAGTTTATGTGTTAGGCCTCTCCCCCCCCCCACCCCCCCCCCCCCCCCCCATCCACCCTCATTCCTTCCAATTTGTTACTTTACCGTAGTCTCCGCCTAAGATCCCGGTGCTTGGGAGCAAGGAAAATGCAGGATGTAGACTAACAGGATCTTATCTGATTCGTCAGGGGGAGAATCGTCAGCATCTTATGGTCAGGCCCACAATCAGTAATAATGATCTTCCCTTACTTTGAAATAAACTGACATGACCCATGGGTAGGTTTAAGACATGGTGAGAAAAGAATGATTCACCTTTATGACCAACCACAATGGAGTGAAGCGTGCCATTTTTACTTGTCCAATTATGAGTCTCAAGATCTGCGTTGATCCCTTTTCTCCTCCCCTTAGCTGGTCCAAAATGTATAGCTTTCCATCTCTGCCCGAGTTCCCTGCTCGTGTCGTAATGCACTATTATGTTGTGACAGCATCAGTCTGTCCTGTCTTGCAAAATTAGGCCTAGAGAGATGAAAGACAGCTGCAATGGCCTGGGAAGCAAAAAGGCCCCATTGATTTCACAGTTGGATGTGATCCTGTCTGATGTGGCCTTGTAGTTACGACCCACCCGGCGTGTGATGCAAGTTCAGGCAGAGGGTTGAAATGCGAGTGCAATGTTTGGGGAAAAGCAAGTATTTCAACGAGTTCACACCTTGGCGTGATCCTATCTAGAGCAAATGCTGTACCTACTCATCAAAATTTACAACAGAGATGTGATTACGTTCACAAGAGTGGTCGATCTCTGATGCAATGGCTAGTACAATTATCACAAATTTTTCCTGCTTGGTTGATCAGCTGCATTCACTGGGGGTTTTGTTCTTATCTGAAATGCAGGGTCTTTCTGGAATATAATAGTCCTTCAGGATGGGATCTTAGGGGTAACTTTTGTACGTTAAAAGTTTTGTTTTTTTAAAACAGCCGGATTTTAAGCGAACTAGTGTCGTAAGCAGTGGGATCTTAGGTGGAGACTACAGTATTTGAAAGAAGTTTGGCTTTCAAGGCATAATCTCAATAACATTTCTTTCGTTTTTTATGTATTTTGTTCTTTGCCATACAGGCTAATTATAGTTTAATTTGTACTTCTGTGCACCTAGCGCCTTCACATCAGACTGCAGCCATGGCTTTGGCGCAAAATTCCATGGAAGATATTGTGGAGTGTTTTCTGTGTTCAGCATCATACCTGTAACCCCCACCACTGCTGAAGATTAGTTCTTCCTTTTCTTGTTAAAATTTCCACTAGCATTTATATGGTCAGGCATTTCCTGTTGGTGATCAGGCTAGAACTCCCAGAATGGAAATGTGTATCTGTATGGTAAAATAAAGGGAAATGGGGACTCTTTATGATTGTGCCATGCTCTGCAGCGGAAAGATTTTCATTTTCCTAGTCAGACGTTTATTCTGCATAGCAGTCATTGTTATTTGCTTTGAAAATCTTGGAAAGTAAGAATGCTGTCTTCTATTGAATCAAGTTTCTCACTTTGTTCAGAAATATGGTCTTATTTGATAAAATAATGATAAAACAAGATGCTATTATTGATGGTTACATAGAACCAAATAGAAAACTGTGAAAAGGAAACTCCGAGGTATCCTCAAAATTTGGGATCTGTTTGTTTCTTCCCCTTTTGTGATGTTCTGTTTCCTTTGACTAAGACAACAATATAAAATTCTTTTTACTGCAGCTTGCTTTAATGGGTGTTACTAATACATATATTACTCTACACACGACTTACTGTTGTCATCATTCTGCCAATTTATATATACTGCTGTAGTGGGATGAGTATGTCATTGAACAAGCTGCAACAAGCTGATACATCGTTCAAACTGGTTTTAACCACTTTCTCAATTTTTTTCTTTTCCTTTTATTGCATATATATTAGTGTCTTTTCGAGAAATTGAAACTTTTTCTTGTGATTTTTATTTATGTATGCCTTCAGGATAAAGAGAATATGAATATAAGAATGTTAATATTAGAAAAGGGCTTGTCTTCTAAGATGGGACAAGACTTTTTTTTTTGCAAACTTTGATCTGAACTATTTTGTTGTTTCTGTAACATAACCTTCTGTGAATCTTGTCAAGTTTTAGATCTTGTTTATTTTTTTCATGTTTTGTGGCCCTTGTCAACTTGTTAATTATGTTCTTTTAATACGACTCATTATGAGACCTTGAGAAAGAGTACATGTTTCACGGATTACATTAATTGATCAAACTCCAGGGTATGTCTGCTGGCCAAGGCTTGGGATCACCCACATGTCCATGGCCTTGTGGTATTTGTTTTAAACTCAAGATTCCTTGTTTTTTGCCTGTATAGGCTGCATAATCAGATTTTTGAGGACTGAAGATCGCATGTTTCGCGTTTTCCTTTTATTTTCTTTCCGTGATGAATGCATTGTTGAACTAATGCTCCTGATGACAGTTTTTCTCAGTGCCTTTTTCAATTATTGTGAAAAGGCAGTTCAAGATTTCATTTTTGTATGCTTTATAATAATTTCATTCTTATGAAGACCACTCTTATGTATGGCTACCTCAAAAACTCTCCATTTCTAATAAAGATTATTACAAATTAATGTCTGTAAAAGACATTTATCTTGATCTGAAAAATAATTCCCAAAGATTACAGTCTCTTTTTTGGAAGTTGCTTCCTTTCTTTGGTTTTGGAGATGCTGTCTTTGAAATGGAATTATGTTGTAATATCCTCGATGTCAATGCCAAAATCAGCTTTTGAAATACTGAAATGTTAAGGAAATTTGAAGCTTTTTTCTTTCCCACTGTCATAGTTCATTGCCTTGCGGTATTTTTATTTCCAGGCTACTTTTTATATTGACCAGAAGAAAGAAGTCTGTTTATTATATTTTGCTACTCTCATTTAGCTCATGAAACTTGATTTTTGTTAAGCTTCGTCCATTATTCTGATCATCCATACTATTTTTGTGTATATATCTTGTTTAATGCTACTCGCTGTCACTTTATGAAGAATGAGAATGCCAAATGCTATAATATGAATACACCCAGGTATGCCATCAGATGTGACAAGAAGGAAAGGACTAGTGTTGCACCCTGAGGCATGCACCAGATATAAATGAAGTTATGAAAGATTTGAACTCTCGAGATGTCTTTCAGCATCCAATTCCCAGTGAGAACTTTTTAAACTGATATCCATGAACCCTGTTGTCGGACAGCACCACTGCTTGACTTTGACAAGTCGTGATGTTTGTTCACCATATGGGACTCACTTTTGAGGAGTAAAATCTATATCTATATATATCTTTTGAGGACCTATACAAACAGTTTTGTGATAGTGTTTGTGTGAGAGGCTTTGGATGTTGTACAGGCCCGTTGCGGAGACAACACCATGGTGACCTGCCAAGTATGCCAGGAAAATCAGAGCTCGTAATTTAAAAAAATATTTTTTGTTAAATTTTGCCAGTGTTGTACACAGTGTATCATAAATGACATGAAAATACACAGTGTATTTGATTTACATGTATTTGCAATATTTTCATGACTTATCTTAAATTACGAAAAGATACACATTTCTATTTTGTGTGTATTTGCAATATATGTTTATTTGCCACAGTCAGATTGATACGTTATCTCAAACTGGGTTTGTGGAGACATATTATTTTTTTTCCCTCAAACTCTGACTTTAGGAAGGATTCTGGGTAAATACTCCTATGTTGGGTCACGAAGTGGTTGGCAGGTCTGCTGTAATGTAGAGCATCTTTTTCCCTAAATGTTCACTTCTGTTTTCGTGGACCAGTGCCTCTGGCAGGCTTAGACAGTGCTCTACATCAGAAATACACAGTTGTATCTGTACCTAGTTTTGAGAAATTTGATGTCAAAGATTTTGAGTTTCACATCATGTCTAGCTTTTTCGCCTGCAGTCCTTTGAATATTTTGATGGCTCCGAAAAATCTTACGAATAAGATCTTTCACAGCAAGATAGTTCACTGGGCGGAAAAAGTGTCAGTGGAAGTCCGCGCATTGGTTCAGATGGTGCTGCAGTCTTTGCTTTGAAACTCTCTTTCGTTTCTGCAGAAGAAGAATTGGAATAGCACAATTTGTTAGTTTCGCTTTTGTTTTTCACACAAGTAGAGTAACTGTTCGCAAAGTCTGCTGCACTTTTTCGAAGAGGGCGCCACTGAATTTTGAGGACACTTTTTTAAATTGGCTCAAAGAGAGGAGTGAACTATCTTGGTATATACGATCTTTGCTTATGATTTTGATAGAGCAGATTGAATATTTGGTTTCTGGCCTCATGGTCTTCTTAGTAACTCAAAACGGCCAAACACGTCACATAGAACTTTGTAATTCTGAGGTGGCGAGTAGGCACAACAGGCACTTTGCAAATGACAGTAGACATTCTACAGGGATGCTAAATTTCTGGGGGTTTTCGGCTTTTCCCGTTTTTTTCAAGACAGAAATAATGTTATTGGAAGTTAAATTGATGCAATAAAGGCCCCATACACTTGCAAAGGAAAGTGGAGAGGTAAGAGAGATGTTTTTGTTAGCTCATTTGAAAACTTTACAAGGTTAGTTTTTGGGGAGATGTAATGCTCCGCTCAATTTCAGGGTGTTTTAAAAAAAAAATCATTTGGCATCCCTGATTCTGACACACATTGCCAGCAGGAGACCCGACCGACATGGTCACTGGACTTTTCATTTTGCTCCTTGACCTGTCGCTGGCTATAGCTTGTGGTTGCTTGTCCTCACAGGACAGGCTGAGCCTCCCCCTGCCCCTCCCCCGCCCCAAATCCTACACCTCCATTCCCTACCTCAAGTCTATGAGAATTTTCTTTCTTGGATCCTGGAGAGGAGGGAGGAGCAGCTATGGCATTGTGCCGCCTGCAATGATGCCTATTCTCCAACCAAGTAAGTAAGTAAGTCTATGAGAATCACAAAGGCCCAAATGTGTGCAACTCCCAGCCTCTGCTCTAGTATGTGTTTCTCTGAATGTAGTCAACAACTTACAAACATGAGGCTCCGCAACGGGTCAGTTGTCAGTAGTGTAAAAGATAATGCAAAGGGAAGGGTTTTTAAAAAATCAATTGGAGAACAGGTGTTCTTTCAGTTTCAGGGTAGCTGACATTGATCTGTCCCTGTCGTTTTATGCAAGAAAAATTCTGAAATCATGCAAACTGATCCCAAAAAAGCGAAATTATGCGATTCTGTTAATTTTAACAAAGAATGATAAAGGAAAATAATCAGAAATTATGCAAAAAATGATCAAATTTCACTAAAGTATGCGGGGTGCATAAAACCACGGGGACAGATTGATCATCACTCTCTTTCTCCATCAGACAGTATGAAAGCGTGATTTATTTGTTTTATAAATTATAATATATAATTTGTACATGAAACTTCACTTGAGTATGTCAGTGTCACTGCGAGTAGAGTTTTTCAGAATTCAAATCTTTATTCTACGCCTTTGTTATGTCATAAAATCACAGCTTTGTTGCATTAAAGAATTTTATACATCATATCACAGCGTTAAGACATTCTTTAAGGTCACATTTTTTTTGCAATGGTCATTGCAGTTGTTAACAATTTGACTATCTGGAATGTCACAGGTTGATCCAGAGTCTGGTAGGAATTTTTCGGAGTCTTTATAAATAATTTCCTTCTAGTTCTAGCTTAAAATTTTAACGGTATCCATATGTCGTGTTTTACTATCGTATCCATACGACGTGGGGAACACTGTGCCACCACTTTCCAAAGAGGGAATTTACTCTTTAATCCGATCCGTACACTTTGCATAGCATGCAGTCTGTCAAAATGATTTTTTGAGAAATACTGACAGTTTCAAGGAGATCTTCGCACTGGAAGTACTCTAAAATGTGAAGAACACTACCCCTGGGGTACAAAATGACAACAGGGCGTACGGATAGGGTTAACTGTGAAACTCAGATATACAATGGAGTCGTTGGGCCTGACCTTCAATTTTGTTGAATTCAAAATGTTCGTTATATTATAGCAATGTGAGCAACAAGCTGCATTGCAAAAAAGGCCTAGCATACGACAACAATTGTTTCAACAGACCAGCACGTAATTCATTAACGTGGATCAGGATCTATGTCTTTCATTGTTCAGTTGCTGAGAGGACGGGGGGGGGAGTAGGAGGATATGACTGTCTTGTGTCTATATCTCTGCCGACATTCCATGGACACTCGCACTAACAGCCACTTGTATTGTGTGCTGACCACCCATCCACACGCTTGACGCGTCATGTCTTACACACGTGTCAACAATGCACGTGTTTGTGTGAAAGAAAGCTTCCGATTCGTCGTGTAAGATGTATGCAATAAAGGATCGATGGTCTCTTATGGGAGAAAAATACAGGAAGCAACTTCAATGGGGCTTTTTGCCCGCAAGCAGCTTAGTTGAATCCGAGTTCACTCATTTATGTGTTAGTAGAATCTGAGTTATTTTGTTGATTTTAATTTTCTTTTTTTCAAATGGGGAATCTGCTAAGTTGAAACCGAGTTTTTGTTGTATCCGAGTTCCACTGTACTGGTAGCACATCTTTGAGACGACTTGCGACCTGCTCAGTTTCTCGAACATGCACATATTTTTAGCAGAACATTTCCTTGCAACTCATATTTACACCCAAAAAAAGTGAGCGTTTTATTGAAGTAAATAAAATGAGTGTTCAAAATTTTGCACCGGACTCTAGAACTAGAAGCCTTGTATTAACAGAAACAAATGTTGTTGAGCCAAAAAAAGAAAATTAGAAAAAAAATTGCCCATCGGCCCAAAAAAAGCTTATTTTCATTCTTTTAATGGATTTCATAATTTTGAAGAGCTCCTGATTTCACCACGATGCCTCACAAATTGGTGTTCAAGATGGCAACACTTTTTAGTTTAAAGAAAAATATTGTAGAGAGATCTAAGGGAAAGAAAAGCAAGAAGTACTTTTCCCTTCCTAAGGCACCATGGAGGTGTTGCATACATTACATCTTCTCATTCTTTAGCACATTCTTAACGTTGACAAACATATTTTGGAGTGAGGAAGTCCATTGCAATACCGACATCCCCTTAGAAACTCCATACAAATTACTTCCTACGGAGGTTACTCAGTAATAACAGGAAAAATAGTCTAAGGCGTATGTGATAAGGTAAAAACAATCTGATCTTCCTTTTTACCATTTGTCTTCACTGAAAGAACAAGATTTAAAGAAACTGGAGAAGGCCGGTGAAATTGACAAAACTTAAGAATACACTGCAGACAAAACACAGGGTTTTTTCCGATTTAATGCATCTTTAAAATAACACAATTGTCAGCTGTTTAAAACAAACGAGCTTTCTTGAACAGATTCACACCAGTTGTAAGAATGACATTGAAAGAGATCAACATTTCGTCATTTCTTGAGATGATCTGTTTGTAGAAAAAAATCTGTCCAAAAACAAAATGGGTATACTATACTGTCTGGTGGGCTTTCACAGTGTTGCAAGGAACTCAAGGATAAGAGTTCAATTTTAAACTTAAAACATTTATTATGGATACCTTAACTTGAACATGACATGCTCCACTGTGAAATCTAATACTCACACAGGAAGCCTATAATGAAATTTGGTCATTTTGAAATGAAGCGCTTGCTTTACTAAATACTTTTGGCTGACAATCTAAAAGATAACAAGCACCAGTGCACGAATATACAGAAGAAGACCAAAGTTCTAGCTGAACGGTAATAGACCTCCAGCAATGATCTTTCCTAAAAATATTTAAAAGGCACCGTCTTTGATTTTACGACTTTTGTTGATTATGATACCCTTGTGACTCAGGATTATTTATGTGCATTACCCCCATTTCAATTCATTTTCTTCTTCACATACAGACTCCACCTTTCTCATTCATCTCTTTAAAAGGCTTTCTTAATAACAAATCAGAGGTGCCAATTGGCTATGAAGAAAATCTGGAACTTTTCTGACCCAAGAGAAACATAAGAAGACAGGGGACTCAAAATCTATGGACAATAATGTCTTATGCATTTAGTATTGAGACACTATTTTAATATATTGTGCAATACAACATGCACAAAGAGATTAAAATATAAATTTACATGTAATTGTACTATAAACAGGAGTACAAATGCAGACAGTTTCAGGATTTCCAGATTTATCCGGAAATCAGCACCTCTCATATAATCATACATTTTGTAACAATAACAAGTAGGTCATTTAACAGAAGAAAATGGACATTTTCAACCAACATGGGCCACTAACTGGCTCAATATGCATGGTGTTTGCCTGTAGACCAGGAGGTCCCTAGTTTGATCTCTGCCAGCATCAAGATGCTTTTCTAATATTTTCTACACCCTCTGATCCCAGGCAGGTTTGGTCAAGCCTGCTCTAGTCTTTTTGGGTAAGAACGAAACATTTCAGAGGCCCCGTGCGGAAGTTTCGCACCCTTAAAAATCCTTTGGCAGTTATAAAATTGAAAAGAGTTGGCCCTTCTGGTTGTCGTGTGGGCAAAATTCTATATCAAAACCCAAAACTGAAACCACTCTAGTCAACATAAATATGTAGAGTGCTTTTGAAAACAGCACATGGCTGGATGGTAGCCAAGGGATGATCCTACATGCTATATATATAGATAAAACAGCCCAGCACGTAAAATCAACTGCATTGTAAGATGAAAATCTCACAGTCAGTTACTCCCTGAGTTCTAGTAGGGGTCGAGAAGAAGAAGAAAAAAAAAAAAAAAGAAAGCAACATCAGAATAATTATTGTATTACGTTTGGATTGTTTTCTGGGTCTGCGATAACTCCTACCAAGTTCCTTTACACAAAATAAGAAAAGGACTGTTGCAGATATTTCCAAAGTTAACTGAAATAAACAAACCATATATAAAAGGCATCTGGCAAAAATGGCAGTGTTAAGAAGTAGTAAAAAAACCATGAACATTTAAATATGACATCTTTAAAGAAACACAGGTGAAAAAAACAACAACATTACTTTGTGAAAAAGGCAGTGAAACCATGCCAGAAAACAACAGAACTTTCCAAGAATGAAATACAATTGAGCACAGATAACTCGAACACGCAAAATTTGAATATTTGGACAGCTCGAAAAATATGTTTGAGATACCCCTGCTCGATTGTGGATTTTTTAAAATGAAAAAGTGAATATCACTCACTAAACAGAGTTTTGTCAATGATCACCATATTGCAAATACATTATATATAAAACAATCAATTTATGAAATTACTTTAGTCAAGTCGTGCTCTTCTTTTTCAATTAAACGTGAGGCAAGCTGACAAAAATGAAAAATTTCTTGGATTTTAGCTATTTGGACAAAGATCCGATAATGTACAGGTTGAGTTTGTACAATTTGTTAGTTTTGAATGATAAAAGACATGTTTAATACGTTAAATTTCAAGAAAATGACATCATTTGAAAGTCTACAAATTTGATACTATGTCAATTTTCTGACGATATCTCCATTCACGAATCGCGAGAAGTAACTCGTTTTGTCAGCACGCCACACAAATCAGTCCTGAAACATTGATAAAGACAATTTTGGTGTCTTACACTTTCAAGGTTCTTCACAGGTACAAATAATTTGCCTCTTTTCATTTCTGTTTCCCAATAGCAACAAATTAAACTTGTCATACATGCGATCACCCTGCTAACATGGAACTTAACACAATTTTGGAAAAGAAACTGAAAAATGAAGCACTAAAGCTCATTCATTTATAATTGGTGGCTAAGAAAACTACCAAACCTTTCCTTCAGAGAAAACTTCAAGTTTTGTTTTCACAAGTTAGAAAAAAAATTATCTGCAGGCTATATTTGCAAATATGACAGGCAGGTGGGATTGCTATGGAGTTTTTCTTTCCGAGGATAAAATATTCGCGCCAAATCTTTGAATCTCAAGTTTCTGAAGTAGCTGACAACCTGATGCAGTGATCTCACAGTATCATCCGACTCAATCATTCATGGCACCACATCAGTTGACTACATTTTCTTCAAAAACGAAAATGACTGAAAATTACAATTACAGTGCAAAAAAACAAGGAATGCGCGTAGTTCTGGGAAAAATTTTTATGGTCTTTAATTATGAATCCTGTAATCTTTTTATATTTCTATTCCAAGACACAGATTTATACTTCTTTGACAAGCATCATACCTATAATTTTCGACATCTGACTCATCACGATACATCTGCAGGAGATGCGTAGCCTCTTGTGGTACTTTTGAGGAGCAGTAAAGGGCGGTACTTTTGAGGGGCGGTAAAGGAAACCAACAAATAGCCAAGAACATGTTTCAAATTGTTCATCATTAGACTAGATTACATAAGAACATAAAATTCACCAGGCTTAATTTCTACTACATGGATCACATAAACATGCTGAAATGGAAATCAAATCTAGATCTCGTCTCACTTGTACAAAAGACCTATGTTGAACAAAAAGTTCTTTCCACAAAGTAGGAAAACTGAAAGGTAACAATTTTTTTCTACCTTTTATTCCTACTTTCAATTTACATCTCTTTGCTACAGTTACATGAGTCTGTACTGAAAGCACATTACAAATACACTCTATCAACAAACAATTGTATTTGACTTTACAAACAATAAACAATACTCTGTGTAAAAATCACTGAAAGACATTAAAAAGTCTTCTCTTTTTCCCAAACCACACCTGAATTTTTCTTTATATGCACACTGTTCTCACAAACATTCTTGGGAATGGGGTGGGAATAAGGTATGGTAAAGCAGCTGTCATAGTTGTACACGGTCTAGAAGAGCGGTGAGATCTGCCTCCAGTTGCTGCTGGTCCCCGTTGTTAGTGACAACAAAGTCCCAGTCAACACCTTGGTCAAGTCCACACTCAGACTCCGCGTCATCCACACCTGAGGCAAAATAATCATAGCAACATTAATAGAGGTCTACCTAGTAAAGAAAAACACTAACATTACATGAGCTTGGGACAGACACAACCAGACAACAAACAGATCATCATTTTAAAATTAGCTCTCTCTCCCTCTTTGATGTCAGGTTTTATATTTTCATGCTTTTAGAGCCCTGCCTAAACATGCTCACTCAAATCAACACATGGAGACTTAGGTCCTATAGTTAAGGCACAGACTTGTCAGGAATTCATGGACCCAGATTTTGAATAGAAAAGAACAAATTCAAGTCTAGCCATTTGCTTCCAAACAACCCGCACACTACAGCCTCAGCAGGTTCTTGTGTATTTATATATATGAGCAAAAAATAGAAACAAAGACATAACAATGGTCACATAGTGCTCTTGTGGTAAAAATGATGGAAAGATAAGAAAGAAGTGATGCCATAACAACTTCCACATTGCATAAAACGAGTGTAATGACCGCCATCTGTGGTACAGCTGTTCGGCTCTTCGCCATTGCATGCATGAGACCTGAGTTGGATCCCCAAGTGGGGAGAAAATTTTTATTGAGTATTCCGGTCTTTCTAATGAGATGTTGTATCCCTCTCAGCCCGGGTCAGCCCTTACAGGCAAGATTTGATTAACTCAGAAACTCTCCTCCTACTCCTAAATGATCTCAATTGCATCGGTGGGGTCACAAAAACATCCACATTTTCTAAAAAGTTTAAGGTAATTCAAAACCCAATGCAAAGTTGATTATAAGGTGGGACCTCTGATTCAAAGCCAAGTAACACCAAACCAAATGTGTGGACAGCCACAAGAACTTCCCAAACAATTTAAATATTGTGAATATTATAAAGTGCCTCGAGATATATTATAATCGATGCTGAATTAATAAAGGTCTTTATTATCTTTTTTATAATGAGAAAATTTTTTATTTCAACACAATTTGAGGGGAACTGGTGCCACAGCAGCTACACAAACGTTTTACCTGGTGTAAATACAAATCCTCGGTTCTCTCTCACTTTCATGTCAGCCTGAACACGTAGAGTCACTGTTTCTTTACTGTAATTGGTTTTGAAATAGTCAATGTCAGACACTCTTCGGGCATCGCTTATGATCCAAACTTCTCTTTCAGAACCTTCACCTCTTGTGGCAAGTCTGCAAAAAAAGCCAGCGTCTTTATTTCTTTTTTCCTCCCCCCAACGAATCATGTCGGCTCTATACTTTTCCTTGTAGTCTGAAGCATCAAGAAGCCGCTCAAAATCCAGCCCATGTTCCTAAGAGTGAAAAAAAAAATAAAACATACTCGTAAATAAGAGCATTCACATAAGCACCCAATAAAGAAACTTGGAGATGGTTCATCAAATGAAGTAGAAAATGAAACATTGCTTATATTATAACATGTTGTCCACTAAAAGCTGAAACAAAGAGATTTTTAAACTTTTAGTGAAAATTTTACAGCATTTATATTGACAAATAGGTCACATATGTGCTGAAGTTTTGATAACTTACTAGAGAGTTTACAACAAAAAAAAAAGAGGAGAGAGGAAAGGACGCTTGATAGAAAAGAAGGAGGAAAAAAACACACCACAGCATCTGCCAGTCACCAACAGAGGCGAAGAAAAAGATAGGTGCACAGAACATTTTGGAGTCAATAACACATACATTGTTCAACATTATCAAGTTTTAATGCTAAAGCACAAGCAAGTCTGAGCGAACATATGCCTCTTTCTCGAGTGACACTAAAGCATACATAAACACAAATAAATTAAATCACCTGTGCATATTGCTTTTTCAGGGGCCCGGATAACCTCAGAATAGAACAACGATCTGCACCAAGCCTGAAATAAAATGTACAGAGGATGTTTAAAGGCATTCATCTTTTTACAAGTATGTTTGTTTTTGCTTTGATTGGGTGGTTGGCGGGTGCTCTGGTGTGGTTTGCTCCTTCTTTCCTATCAAACATCTATCGTCCTTATCTCTCCTCCTTTTTTGTGTACGTTACTCTCTTGTAACACCTCTAATCTTTGGCACTTATATGACCTTATTGTGTTGCAAGTGCCGTAAAACTCTTACTAAAACTAAAACTAACTGAGTTATGAGCCTTTCTTTACTGTTCTAATTACTAATCCAACAATTCGAACTGATGAAAGTGGAAGTCATTAATTGTTTTCTATTGCTGTGTATACAAGATACTTTTTTTCTTCTGAATGCTGAATCTAGGTCAGAGGCCCACAATTTTGCCTGAGGCATGGATTTCTTAACAAGTGGTATTGTGAGCAAGTAATGGGTAATGAAATAATTTCTACCACTACTAATACCAGCAAGACTGGAAGGAAATGGCAAAAAGTGACCAGAGCTTTATAAAAGCCAAGTGACCTTCTTTTAACACTACAGTCATAAACGAAAAAACTCATAACTGCAAACAGCTGAAACAATCCACAATACCCCAATCTGTTAAAAAACTGAAAGCATTTCTGTGATCAGAAAATATTAATTTTTCTTTCACATTTCAGTAAGCTGAGTAGACCATGTCTCAGGGTACAAACTGTCCTTTGTCAGCCCCTGAACATCACAGTAGGCATTGTGGGTGGTTGGCGGGTGCTCTGGTGTGGTTTGCTTAACTTCTTTCCTATCAAACATCTATTGTCTTTATCGCTCCTCCTTCTTTTTTGTGTTTGCTACTCTCTTGTAACACCTCTAATCTTCGGCAGTTTTATTACCTTATTGTGTTGCAAGAGCCGTAAAACTCTTACTAAAACTAAAAGGTAGGTGCTGAATGCCAATGGCCTTAAAAAAATTGCAGCTCTTTCAGTTCACTCTAGCCTCGGCAGAAGGGCTTAACTGACCATGTCATATATTGAACTACTGGGTATGTTGAACAGTAGAGATATTTGTGGTGGTGCTTGTGGTGGTTGTGGGTGTAGTGGTCCATAGTCATGGCCGTCGATGAGTGTCGAAGCAGCAGTAGTAGGCCCAAATTACAAAAATGAACATGGCGGAATTTGACAAGTCTGACCAATGTTGAGCAAAACACCATTATGTTTTGTTCTAGGACATGATAGGCGTACATGTGGGTGGGCTGAGAAAAGGAGACATGATTTTTTTAAAAGTAAGCCTTAAAAGGAGGTCACATTAACAGTCACATGAAGACATGAAAAAAACGCGAAAAGACACGGTAAAAAAACATGGCGAAAAGACACGCAAAAACGCGAAAAGACACAAAAATATACATAACCGGTCCTAAATGGGAGGGTGTCCTGCGCTCATAGGACTTTAGGCCTATGATGCAGTTGTGGGGCCTAATTGGGAGGTAGTTCTGCGCTAATATGATCTTAGGCCTATGATGCAGTTGTTGGTGCCCTAAAACACTGGCTCCCCCAAAAATTTCAAGTGGAGAGAGTTGCATGGCAAAAATCCACAAGACACATTTAACAACGTAGTTTTCCACTAGTCACAGTGGTACCCAGTGCCATAAAAGTCCTATCACAGTCATTACATAATTAATAATATTTTACTTAGAAAATGAAACATCAAAAGGACGTCAAGCGCCTGGCATTCATCTGGAAGTCTCAGGTGTTCATCATGGCGGAATATAAACAAACTTGTAGGGAATGTAGATGGTAAGGGATTACCCCAATTTTGATCAAAGTAGGCCTAACCCTGAAAATGAGTCTGAAGTCTGAAGGGACACAAATCAGATGTTTTTTCGAATCTTTCTCGTAATTTAGTATGTATGACCCCAAATTAATTCTTGTTAGAACTAGATCTAGACTTGTCATAACATAAACAGTGTTACACAAACATCCAGCCGATTCAACGGGCCTTGTCAGGATGATAGATCTAAATCTAATTCTAATGGGGGTGGGGCAGACATGCCGTTAAACTTAGAAATGACGCATCTTTCTGATTGGCTGCTTATTTTAGTAATGTGATGTCATCACTTCCTGGGATACCCAAACATGGAACGACGTGTTTTCGGTAACATTTCGGATTTTCTAGATCTAGATCTAGAATCTAGATCTAGATCTAGATCTAGATTCTAGATTAGATTCTAGATCTAGATCTATTAGGCCTACCTGGACATGATGGAAGACCGCACGAAAATTGCCGTAAAGACGCAGGAGGACTAGATAATATCTAGATTTCTAGATCTAGATATCTAAATTTAGATCTACCACCCCCCCCCCCTGCATTTTTAATCACTAATACTTTTTTAAAAATAAACAACAACTTCAAAGTCAAAGCAACTCTACAAATTAGGCCTATAATTTATGGAACTGTTGGTCAGTCGGGAGGAGGAAA